CTTCTGTCTCCCGTGATATAGCACCAGACCTCTGACTCCTCCCACATCCTGTCTTCAGCACCAGTCACCCAAAGTCCTGCTTTGCCCTGTAATCCAAGTTCTACTCGCTCAGCTCTCTCCTTCAGCGATGCTTCCTTCTGCTCCACCTTATGGAGCCTGTTTCCTGTTCCTTTCAAGGAATTTGTGAATGTCAAGAAGTAATTTATATTTGACTGCCTGAATCATTGGGTTTGGGGGGGGGGGGGTTGCCTGACAGTTGGTCGTGTGTCACCCATGAGAACTATAGAATTGAAGAATTATGTTCTTCTGTTGTCCATGGATAATTATGTTTTTGTCTGGTATGATTTCTCTCAGTGCTGTCTCTAAGTTATAAGAGTTGGTTTCGTGTCATGTATGTTGTTCTGGTCTTCAAAATTATGTGATTCATGTCACTATTATTTGCAAAGTAACATGCCCCCCCTCCCCTCCCCCCTCCTCCACTTCCTGCGCTGACTTTGGTGTGCATCCGAGCGAGGGCTGCCAGGTTCTCTCTCTGGCTGGTCTTGCTTCATAGTCCATTTGTTTCATCTGCTCAACGGAGAACTGGGATATTGGAATGTGTTTAATGAAAGGTCAGCGATTGAGTCAAACCCTAGTTTAAACTAGATTTTGTGAGGCTTGGTGCTTAGGCTTGGGTAAAGTACAAGCACCTCTGTTTCGATACTGTTTTTATTATCAAATACCATATAACATCAAGAAAAATCTTGACATTTTCGGTCTTGAAATATAGACCTAACTTGTCAGGTGGAGTCTGGGTGTTCTTTACAAGGCTGCAGTTGACTTGTGTTGCTTGTGTTGTGCTGAGTCCTCTCAGAAGTGTATGGTTCTGACTGCCCTCCTAGCAGCTTCTCAGCCCTATAATGCTTTTTGCACAGATTACACAATGACCTCAATCATCAAACCTTAAGCCTGCATTGTTTTGCCAGCGTGGTCAAAGGCTTGCACAACGTCGTGCTTGACTGAAAACAGGGACTAGCATTGAGGTCTTGTCGGCTCTGACACGCTGCCCTGGGTTTTTTGTTGTGAGACAAGAATGTTGCAGTGTCATGCTGGTACAGATTCTTGACAGAAACGACTTAAGTGGTGGCTTAGGGGGTATTTTTCGTATGTGGATTATTCATTTAGCCTGATGTAATTGTTGACGATTTGGCATGATCCCGGATCTGTCAGTTTTTTGAAACTCTTGCTGGATGTGTTGTCATAGCAACACATCCAAATCCTCAAACCTGCTCGGAGCAGGTTTGCTCTACGTAAACAACGGTTAGCTCCCACACATAATCAGTGTCCATGCATGGATATCCGTTCAGTCATAGCCTCCCCATTCATGGATGAGCGACCAATTGCAATCGGTGCACAAATAATAAGGGAATTTCAAATTGAGAGGGTTTTGTGCAACATCCTTTATTGTTGCCGGATGATAGTCTTTCCGAAAGATACCACTTCAGCCGAGATGGAATATTGTATCTTTAAGATTTATTAGCTCCATATAGTAGAAGTCCAACTAGGCGAAGTCGGCCTCTCACAGCCTCACAGACAGTGTGCATCGCCTTGAGATATTTTGTACGCTTTTTTGTATACTGTAGGCGATGCGGAAAATATATCAAAGAATACAGTTTGCCAGGCAATATCACAATTGTTTTTCTCGGGTGCAGGCAACTAAAGAGGCGTTTTATGCCATTGCAGGTAATGTATATGCAATAAAATTACAGTTCTATAAAGATTTAAAAAATCACACTTATATTCTCATTACCCAGAATTTCCAAAGGTTTTGTTTGCCTTCTTCTTATTAGCTGACCTAATATAAATTGTACGCGCCAGGAAATACTACAATGCAATTCTTACTTGAATGCCTTCTTCACAGACTGGAAGATTAACCAAATAAAGCAGCGCAACATTACAGTAACTAACAAATATACCACTAACTTACGTGTACTATTAGAGCATTTATGTCATTTATTTAAACTTTATTTTACCAGGTAAATTAACTGAACCACTTCTCACTGCTTTACGTGATATTCGGGAGAAATAGCAGACTATGCATCGGAACTGCCTGGGATACAAACGTCATGCGTGTAACTAAACTCTTCAGCCAATAAGGGCAAAAGTGTGTCGTCACGGAGGCGGTTCCAGTTTGTGCAGCCGGGTGAGAGGTCGCAATGTATCTAACCGTAATGCATTGCGTCAGGATCATAATGGGTTGCTTTAAGCCAACGCTGTAAGCAAGTCGAATGCACCCAATGACTGGACTGGGGAAACAAACTGAAACGCGGACTTAATACAGAAGACTAATGACAACAACCAGAAACAGCTGATCACATGGGGATCCCACACGAGGTTAACGAGGGGGCGTGGCACACGGAAGGAGCGGACGATCGGGGCAGGACAGGGGTAATGTTGGGATAAGAACTTTATCGTTTTGGAAGCCATTAAGAAAAAAATGCTCTTATGGTTTCATTCTATTCATTTTGTGTTTTAAATGCTAAAAAAAAACATATTTAGGTGAATTTTGGGGGGGCAGGAATCAATTAATTGGTTTTCCATTATTTCTTATGGGAAAAATTCAATCAGAACTCGAACTTTTTAGGATTCGATCCGGAGTCCGGAACGGATTAAGTTCGAGAACCGAGGTACCACTGGGAGGGATGTAACGATACACTCAACTCACGATTCGATACGATTCACAATTCATGATACGATTTTCTCACGATTTTTTAACAGAATGAGCCATAGACAGATTTATTAAAAAATATTCCTTTATCTTTCCAAACTGTGCAAAATGTGTCCTTTTCTTAACATCCATCCATCCATTTTCCAACCCGCTTATCCTACTGGGTCGCGGGGGGTCCGGAGCCCATCCCGGAAGCATTGGGCACGATGCAGGGAACAACCCTGGACAGGGGGCCAGCCCATCGCAGCTCTTCTTAACAGTGCAATTGAAATTGAATAAAATACTGTTTTAAAAAAATCCCAAATCAAAATAAATACTTCAGAAAAAACTGAAAAAAAACAGTAACACTTTACATTCAGTGCACCTTCATAATGTATTATGTATTCAGAAATCATTCATAAACATCATGCATGTATACCTTTACATCCTAGCATCCCTTAACAGCTGTAATATACAATAATAACAAACATTATATAATAATAAGAAACATTATAATTGTATAATCATGTAATGTTTGTTATTAATGTATATTAAAGCTGTTAAGGGATGTTCGGATGTACTTGCATGCTGCTAATGAATGTTTTATGAATGCATTATGAAGGTGCACTGCATGTTCTATAAATGCATAATGAAGGTGCACTTAATATAAAGCGTTATGAAATAAACTAAGGCTTGCATGTGCAGCTTTTTAGCGTGGTTTGCCCTTT